TGGTAAATTTTTCTTTTAGAATTCACCTCTTCTTAAATATTACCTCTTGAATAAAACTTACATAAATGTTAACAGATTTTTGGAGTTTTGGAAAATTAAAATACTGTCAAATGTGGATTACTGTCAAAAAAGGGTATGAAGTTTCAGTTTGGGAAAATGAAGATGTTCTAGAGAGGGGTGGTGGTGATGGTTGGCCAACAGTGCAAGTGTCCTTCCTGTCGCTGAACTGTCCACTTGAAAGTGGTTAAGATGGTAAATTTTATGTGTATTTTACCACAGTAAGAAAAAAATAGTTTTAGTTGTTGAAAATAAAACCCATCAGTGAATATCCATAGCTCCAGAATAAAGAACAAAATCCTTGATGGGCCTTGAAGCCTGAGGTCCACCCCTAGCCTTCTCTCACTCTCCTTCCCGTACCTGTCCTTCTGAGCCAACTGCCGCTTCCCTTCTGCCCTCTTCAGACCCCTTTGCCTAGAGTGTTCTTCCCAACCTCGGTCGGCCAACTCCTATCTATTCATTGGTCCCTCTAATTCAAATGTCAGTTCCTCAGAGAAACCTCCCCTGGCCACCATGATGGGTGTTTTAAAGTCTTGTAGGATTTCCTGAGGATTTTCTGATTAGCTTCTTGGAGTTTTTCTTCCCCACTGTCAGAGGCTGCCTGGAGGGCAAGTCTGTGTCTTTTGTCATACTAAGTAGACAAGGAAGGGCCAGGCCCTGGCCTTGCAGAGAGCTGCTCTCCTGGGTGATGTACAAGCTTGACCCCTGGTCCCCTTGATGCTAAGAGAAGGCCATTTGGAATGTGGTCTCTTTCTTGACTTCATTCTAGAATTCCACTGGGAGAGAGATTGACAAAACCAATGGGAGAACCCAGGAGCTGTCCAGGCCGCTCACGCTCATTAGAGCCTCGAATATACCCTGCAAGCCCAGGGAGAGTTGGCATTAAATCTCCGTTTGTTTTTCTAAATACGCTCGTTCCTGGGGTTTGTGTGTGTGGGGGGGGAGGATGTTTTGTCTTGTTCTGTTTTCCTGTTTGATTACCGTGGAGTAAGAGCCGCAGTAGCACTGCCAGAGCGGTGTGCTGAGAACAGGGGGAGCAGCCATGGAGTGCCAGTCTGGGCCAGCTCTAGGAATATGCAAAAGAAAAACTCTCCATCTCCAGGAATCGTCTCCATGGAGACCTCACCACCGCCCAGCCCTTCCCCTCAGCTTCAGCCGCAGCTGCTCCGCCTCCTTCCTCCATCTGGCCCTCCCCTGGTCACTGCAGCCGGCTCCCCTCCTCTTGGTAGGACCCTGTTGTGCCCCTCCATGGGTACGCTGGGACTTGCGAAGGAGTGTCGGCCTACTTGGGTCCTCTCTGCCACGCCTTTTCTCCGTCAGACGGGATGATGGGTGGTCTTTTGCCACCACAAAAACCCAATCCGGGACTCGGCAGTTCTTCTGTCAGGCCCAAGTTCTACTGACACACACCTACCTGGAGGGACACAGCCTCCACCGAGTCCCACAGCTCCTCTGATGGAAAGAGGAGAGCAGTGAGCTTTATCCCCACCACGGTGGGGCGGGGAAGCCGCAGAGTGGCCCAGGTTCCCCGTGTGGAGCCCGAGCCCGAGCCCGGTTTTTTTTTGGGGGGGGGGGGGGATGGGCCACGGGCTCCCAGAGCTGCGCAGCCATGGCAGCCTGTGCGCTTCCTGCTGGTGGAGCTCTCCTCAGTGAGGCTCTTCAGGCTTGGCTTTGGTAAGAGCCGAGCTGCTGTGGCCGGAGGACCCAGGCCGGCCTCCGCCCAGCTCCTCGCCTGCCCTCGCCGGCCTCCTGTGCTGGAGAAACCTGAAACTCCCGCCTAACCTCGTGTCCCCAAGTCACTTTACAGCTGTACAATAATAATAATGATTTTTAATTAAACTTTTTGTTTTGAGATCATTGTGGACTTAATGTGCAGTTCTAAGAAACTCTTGATGCTCTTTACTAAACTGAGGAAGTTTTCCTCTGTTCTTAGTAGACCCTTGTAGCTATTTTACATTTTACTCAGTGATATGCTCCGTCTTCCAGAAGTATCCTGCAGTGTCACTCGCAGGTTGTTAACTAGATGCAGTGAAGCCAAACACTTTCATCACCACAAGGATCTCTGCTGATGCTCTTTTATAGCTATACCCACCCCCAACCTTAGCTTTCTAACCCCCTGGGAATTTGTTCTCATTTCTAGAATTTTTGTCATTTCAAACATTTTGACGTTTATAAATGGAATTACATAACGTGTAATCTTTTGAGATTGGCTTTTCTCAACATAATATCCTTGTGGTCCATCTGAGTCGTATGTACATTAATATTTGTTCATTCTGTTTGCTGAGCAGTATTTCATGGTGTGAATGTGCCATAACTTAACCATCTGTTGGTTAAAGGACACCTGGATGGTTTCCAGCTTTGGGCTATTACAGATAGAAGTGCTGTGAACATTCCTGCCCAAGCTTATGGGTGGTGGTAAGTTTCGTTTCTCTGGGATAAATGCCCAAGAGAACAATGATAATCTCATGTTTAGTTTTATAAGAGATAGTCAAAATCTTTGTTCCAGAGTGTCTGTTCCATTTTGTACCCACCACTGGTATGCGTGTGATGCACATCTTTGCATCTTTGCCAGCATTGGTTATATGTGATTATTCTGACAGATGTGCAGTGGTGTCTTATAAAGGTTTTAATTTGCAATTTTTCTGGTAGATTTTGTTGGGAATTTCAAGGTAGACTGTTATGTCATAGGCAAATAGAGACTGTTTTATTCCTCACTTTCTAATCTTTAGGTGTCTTCTTTTTCTTGCCTTATTGAAGTGCCTGTATTATGGTACACAAGTTGGTGAGAAGAACGTCTTCCCTTGTTCCCAACACTAGGGGCAAGGTGTTCAGTTCTCCACCAGTAGGTGTCTTGGTAGCTGTGGGTGTTTTGTTGATGCTCTTTACTAAACTGAGGAAGTTTTCCTCTGTTCTTAGTTCCCTCCTTCCTTAATTTGTTGAGGGTTTTTTTTTTTTAAATCATGAATGGATTTATCTTGTTGGGTTTTGTTTGTTTGTTTGTTTTTGGTACCAGGGTTTGAACCCAGACATGTTTAACCACTGAACCACATCGCTAGCCTTTTTTATTTTTATTTTGAGACAGGATCTTGCTAAGTTGCTGAGGCTGGCCTTAAACTTGTGATCCTCCTGCCTCAGCCTCCCAAGTCACTGGGATTACCACCACACCCAGCTATCCTATCAATTAGTGTCCACTGTTCTTTCTGTACAATAGACATGATCATATGAACTTTATAGTTTATTGATATGGTAGATTACATGGATTAATTTATGATTATTAGACTATCCTTGCATACCTAGAATAAATTCTATGGTATATAATTTTTAGATTTTTTGAATTTAGTTGATTAATGTTTTGTTTGGGGGGGGTTTGCTTCTAAGTTCATAGGTGATGCTAGTCTGTAGGGATTTTTTTTTTCTACTTTGTCTGATTTTGATATTCAACTAATACTGACTTATAAACTGACTTTGGAAACGATCTCTCCTCTTATATTTTCTGGGAGCAACAGTAAAATTGGTGTTAATTCTTGTAGACTTAAAAGTAATCATCTACAACTGAAGATTTGGGGGAAGAGCTTGCTTAAGTATGAATTCAGTTACTCTAAGAGAACTATTTAGATTATATATTTCAGAAATGTTTTAGTTATAGTTTAGGAAGAATCAGTTATTCTAAGTTGTTGGATTAAGTTTTTCTTAGCATTCGCTTATCCTTTCAGTGGTTACAGATCTTTTATAATATTCCATTTCATTCTTAGTGTCTTATCTTTTTTTTATGTTTGTCAATTTTAATAGAAGTTTGTCGATGTTATTCATTTTTTGAAGGACCAGCTTTTTGTTTCATTAATTTTCTCTTATTGTTTTCCTGTTTTCAATGTTACTGGTTTCTTACTTTCTTATTTCTTTACCTCTGCTTGCTTTGGGTTTAATTTGCTTTCCTTTTTCTAGGTTCTTCTTTGTGTGTGTGTGTGGGGGGGGGGGTGGTGCTGGGGATTGAACCCAGGGCCTTGTGCATGCAAGGCAAGCACTCTACCAACTGAGCTATCTCCCCAGCCCGTTTTCCAGATTCTTGAGGTCAGAATTTTGGTTATTGATCTGAAGCCTTTCCTGTTTTCTGATGCACGCACTGAATGTGATCGTTTCCTCTCAGCAGTCCTTAGCTAGACCCCACATGTTTTAATATGTTGTTCTCATTCTAATTCAGTATGTTATAATTTTTTTCAGGTCTTCTTTTTTGATCCTTGGATTATCTAGAAGTGTGCTTTGTTTAATGTCCCTGTATTTAAAGACTTCCTTTTTGTTGCATTGCTAACGGGACTCCTTATGGTCAGGGAACACATTCTGTGTGATTTCAGTTATGTGCTTTGCCCTGTGGCCCAGACCATGGCTCGTGGTAAAACCCCAGGAGACTGGAGTCCCAGCCTGCCCAGTGCCTCAGCCCCACCCCGTTGCTTGTGTCTCAGGCAGAAAAAGGAGCCCCAGGCAGGAAGGGACAGAAGATAGAATCAGCCTTCCCAGTGACCCCCATTCCTGACAGCAGTGGGCCCTGAGCCCACAGATCCCTGCCTGCCCAGATCAGGAACTGGTTCACCCTTCCATGACCCTTCCCATGACACGGGGTGATGAACACACAATGAGGCTGCAGGAGGGGTGGGGTGCAGGCAGAGGCAGCCAGTCCAGGCCCTGTGCCCCCACACCCTCACCTCTTTCTAATGGGGTGGTAAGCGAGGAGGGGCAACTCAGATGCCTAAGAAGCTTAGGCCCAAATCTCGGAGACAGTGCCGGGCTGTTGCCCCCCTCACCCAGGTCCGCCAGACGGCCCGATCCCACCGCTGCAGACAGCCCAAGGGCCATCACGGCCGCCGCCCCCGCCGCCGCTGCCAGAACACGGTATGCAGGGTTGCCAGAGGACTGCGAGAAGCTACTGACTCCTCATCTCCTTCCCGCAGGACCTACAAGAACAGTGAGGAGCTCCGGTCTCGGATCCTGTCTGGAATCATCTCACCCATCCATGAGCAGTGGGACAAGGCTAGTGTGAGCAGTCCCCATCGGGAGTTCCCCCCTGCCACAGCCAGAGAGGTGGACCCCCTCCGGATTCCCTCTCACCATCCGCACACCAGCCGGCAGCCTCCCTGGTGAGTACAGTCCTCTATAGGTGGCCCGTGCCTCTGCTGCAGGATCCGGCCATCCTTCCCAGCCGGCCGCTCTGCCGCCTCCCTGGCCTCCAAGTGTTCAACAGAACTGTCCAAGTCTTGGTGTATCCAGGCAGAAAAGGGAGACGCAGGTGGTTCTGAAGGCTGCGTGGTCTCCTCTCCAGAGTCTGCCCCGGGTCATTTCTCTGGGGCTTGCGTGCAGCAGTCGAGGGTACTGCCCAGGCGTTGAGTCAGCTGTTCATTCCAGAGCTCTTGGTACAGGGCCCGGGCCAGGCTTTTTGGCAAAATGCAAAGATGTAGAAGGACTTTTGGGAAGGGGATGCATTCCAGTGTTCCTTTTTTTCTTGACCTCTCCGACAACTTAGAAGTTTTCCAAAACAGCATGCTGCATGAGGGAGCCGCATCCAGGGTCTCTGCAGGTTAGGGTGGCAGCATTAGACTGCAGGCTTCTGCTCTGAAGAAGGCAACAGACCAGGGACCTTAGTCTCTAGCTGAGCACCTCCCAGTCTGGAGCCCACGCTGAGGTAGTAAGGCTGGGGTTGACAGGGTAGAAGGGACAGTTCCCTGTGGGGCTTGTAAGCGCTCGATAAATGTGAACTGCCATTAATTTTTTACTCTGATTTGCAATTATATACCTCTATTTAAGTAATAGGAGATAAGCCTATTTGGCAAAAATCTTTGAAAATATTAGGTCCTCTTGTGAGGGTGGAGAACAATAAGGAGTGATTGAAAAAGTTGGGAAGGGTGTATCTGATGTAACCTCCTATTTCACAGAAGGGAACAGAAGTAAGACCTGCCTAAGGTCACCAGCCATTCATAAAGAGGCAGAGCTGGGCCTCCAGATGTCCTCACTCCCTATGAAGTGCTCTGGCTGTGATCTAATTAGAGTACGGTGGCAAGATTTAAGAAAATAATCCCCAGAGAGCAGTTGAGGGGGAAGATTTTTAGACCTGAAGTAAAAATTTTTAGACCCTGAGCAGCCATCGAGGTGTATCCCTGCCCCGTGCACTGACATACCCACATTCTACCTGTCTCACACCTGGAAACCTCCAAATGCACACCCAAGTCGGGTGTCTGCCCTAACATTAGATAGAGACGTCTGTCTTCCAGAGTGTGGGTGCGCTGTGTCTGGAGCCTGTCGAGGGAGCCTGGTCTGCCACTAGGTTTGTGTCCTGCTGCTGTTAGTTGCTGGGTGCTTCTGAGTTAGAAGTACAGCTGGAGAGGAAGGGCCACTGGAGTGGGGAATTGAGCGTTGATGGCAGGTCTGTCCCTCTCCCAAGTGCTCTAGGAAAGACGAGCAAAGACTGTCTATCAGGAAAGGACTTGGTTTGGTTTTTCTATCTAAGCCTAACTTTTTATTCTTGTCATTTTAAGTCTCACCCACTTCCCTTTGCTCATCTGTCCTCAGATAGTCAGGAAACTGCCCCAAATCTTGTCCCTTGTTTTTTTTTTTTTTTTCCTAATATTGTCTTAGTTGTAGTTGGACACAGTATCTTTTATTTATTTATTTTTATGTGGTGCTGAGGATCAAACCCAGGACCTCTCACGTGCGAGGCAGGCACTCTGCCACTGAGCCCCAGCCCATAGTCCCTTGTTTTGAAAAACCAGTTTTTCCTGAGCTTAGCCAGCTTCACTAAAAATACACTTTTAGATATAAAACTCTTGTTTATGTGATTCTAAATTCACTATTAATCTCAGTCTTTACATGTGATTTTTGAATGTTCCCAAGAGTTTGTGTTCTATTTTCTTTTTAATATTTATAATCCATTTACTAAAATGCTAAACATATCTTTTTTAGTATCTGATATTTGATTATTATTTTTCTTCTTTTGTCTGACCTCCATGGGGTATTTCAAGCATTTGTAATTTCTTATTGTAAATAGTGTCTGTGTGTGTGTGTGTGTGTGTGTGTCACTTTTTTTTTCTTATACTTCCCTTACCCTTGAGTTGTACCCCCTTTATTGGTGGATCGCAAACTTTTTGGTCTCAAGAATGCTCTTGCACTCTCAAAAACTTACTGGAGCCCCCAAAGAGCTCTTATTGGATGTCTACCAACACTTACTGCATTAGAAATCACAACTCAAACTTTAAAAATACCCAGTTACTCATGCATTTAAAAATAGCAACCCATGTTAGCCTAAATAACAAACTTTGATGAAAATATCTTTTCAAAACAAAAAAAATTAGTGAGAAGAGTGATATAGTTTTGCATTTAAAAAAAATTTCTTTAATATCTGACTTAATAGAAGATAGCTAGATTCAGTTTGTCTGTCTGACTGATGCTGGGGTAGAACCCAGGCCCTCCTGCATTCTGAGCACATGCTCTACCCCTGAGCTACACCCCAGCTGGATTCTCGCTTGTGCCTGTGAAATTCAATCTTTAGGGGACTAGTTTTTGTTAAAGTTTTACACAGGTATTTTATTGGAAAAAAGAGTAGTTTAATAACTTTTTCAAATATTCTTTGTGTGTCTATTCTTCTTTGCTATTACACGAAACTTAATAACTGATAGTTTCTTGAAGGGTTGGTGGTGTGGAATCTGAATCCATATCTGTGAACTTTGCATACATCTGTTACATTAAAATCTACTGTGGATCCTGCTTTTTGAATGGATCCTCTCCCTATGCACGATATTGGAAGATCAGGTTATTTGGCCATTTGGAAAATATCGATTAACAGATATGGTAAAAGAATGATACATTTTGTTTTATAATATCCCAAAATCACTTTCATTGGTAATTCTCATCAGAATACTAGAATGCCATCAAGCTCATGTTGGAAACAAATTTCCAAATTGACTGTTTTTTGCTTAAAGTTTTGAATTTTATCATTGACTGCAAATACTGTCCCTTGTTTTCCTTGAAGTAACAGGATACTTTTTAAAAAAATATTTTTAGTTGTAGATGGACATAATACTTTATCTTAGTTTTTGTTGTTGTTTAGTTTTTGTTGTTGTTGTTTGTTTGTTTAATGTTGTTCTGGGGATCGAACCCAGTGTCTTGTGCATGCTAGGCAAGCACTCTACCACTGAGCCACAATCCCAGCCCAGTAACAGGACACTTTGTTTTGGAGAAAATATTGACTACCAAGTCAAGTAATCATGGTTTGTCATTCTTTCTAGTAGAAATGGTTTTCCTTGCACAAATGGGCAGTTCAGGTAAAAAACAACTGCATGAGTACTTTTTTTCCAAGATAACTATATGTAATAGAAGTCCTGTGTGCATACAATATTTCCCATGTCATCATACAATATTAAAAAGACATGTACTCAAAAATTGAGATTGAAATTTTTTAAAAATTGATGTTTACTCCTCTGTCCAGGAAGCGAGGGGGCGATGTGAGGGAGGCATGTGGCCACTAGGTGGCGCTACTGCTTTGGTTCATGCTGAGGCCTTAGCTGCTCACTCACCCCGGCTTCTGCACCCTCAACGCAGATGGCAACACAGTGGAAAAAGCCAAAGGCTTCTAAGATAAAGTAGAGGCCAGATGTCTTTTTTTTTTTTTTTTTTAAGTTTTTGTTTGTTTGGAGGTTTGTTTATTTGTGTTTGGGTTTGCTGGTTATTTGGATTTCTTCTTTTGTGAAGATATAATTCAATCTTTTGTCCATTTTCTCTGTTGGTTCACCTGGCATTTTATGACTTGCAGGCATTCCTTATATATTCTGAACTTTGCCAGATATTTATGTTATGAATCTCCCTTCCCGCTGTGGCTTGTCTTTCTACTCGGTGCATGGTGGGTTTTTTATTAAAACTTTCTAGATTTTTAATAGAATCTAGCTTATCAGTCTTTCCCTATACAGTTGGTAATTGTTTTGATTTGTTTAAGAAATATCATATATTTTCTTTAAGAAGTTTGTCATTTTACCTTTTTAGATCTTCAATCCACTTAAAGTAAATTTTTATGTGCAGGACAGAATTCATAGTTTTCCCTATTGGTAGCCAGTTCATTCAGTAGCATATTTTGAAAAGAATATCTTCTGCCTATGCCACCTGAATAATTTTCATTTTTATTACTTGTGAAACTATTATTACTTATTCCTAAATTTTACTCTCTTTCTTTTCCTCTTGGAGCCAAATAATCTTGAACCTTATAGTTCTTCCCCATGGACAGCAAAGTGAGTTCAATAATATTTCTGTATGTCGTGTTTAATTATTGAGCACTACCTGCTCTCAACAACCTGCTAGGCATTTCATCCACATGTTCTTATTTAATATCTCAACACCTCCATCAGATCAGTAAGAGCTCCATTTTACACGCAAGGAAGCTGAGGTTCCTATACAGTTAGCTTCATCACAGCCAGTAAGAACCGAAAGTTGTGTTATAATAGTAGAATATTGGCACTACTTCTTGACTGCTTTGTGATGTAGCAGGCAGGGTGCTGCAATAAACATTCTCTTTTAATGTCTGTGACAGTCCTGAGAAATAGACAATATTATCTGTATTTTATGGAAGAAAAGACTAGGCCTTGGAGATCTTGTGACTTCCAGGGGGTCATAGAGCTGTTAATTGGTGAAGCCAGAATTGGAACTTGAGGCTAACTAAAGCCTTTGCTTTTTTCCCCAAGTCATTTTGTTTAAGTGTCCCTCATGTGTCCCTAGGCACGGAATACACGATGAGATATGGCCCAACCTTCAAGGAGTTTCCATTAAATTAGGGCTAATTGCCTTTTTTGGTCCAGACCGTAAATCTTTTTTAAAAAACAGTGACAGAAATATGTCTGAGATGTGCTTAAATTCAGAGAAGAGCAATTAGCCTGAAGTGGGACAGGATAGAAAGAAAGACTTCACAGAGATGATGCCTAAGCCAAACTTTAAAAGACCAATAAAAATGTTATGACATTGGGGAAATTGGCTTTTATGGCCAAGGGAAGAGTGGGTACTAGTGGAGCCATGAAACCATCTTGTCTGTACGTTGGCGGGCAGAGTGGGGGGTTGCTTGTGCCAGCATGTGAAGGGAGAAAAGGCAAATAAACACAGGACCCAA